ATATAATCCCCTATAGGTCCCCCCTAACCTGAATTAAGTACGTAGCTCATATGGGAGTAGTGCAAGGCTGGCAGTTCATATGGGCCGATGGAGTGGCGACAGGCAACAGACCAGGACGATTGGGTTTGCTTGTCTGGGTTTCTGGCACACTAGGCATGAAGATAAGGTTCCAACCCTAAACTCTTAACGCTATATTACCCCACTATAGTAGTTTCCATTTTCTTTTCCATTATCCCTATATTAAGGTCAGATAAGGTCAACCAATTGCTCCGAGACGTGTCCCCTAGTCCTACTCCCTGATTTCCATTTGATTTTCCATTGTCTTTTCCGTTTGATTCTCCATTATTGGGGTACATAATCCGTATATATCCCCTATACTAGTAGCTTCCATTTTCTTTTCCATTATCCATTCCCTAAACCCTATACCTTAAACCTTAAACCGTAGTTTCCGTTTTCTTTCTCCATCATCCCAATATACATCCTACTCCTTAGCTTGCTTGCAGTGTGGCTGACATGTGGCGCCTGTCCAGGTTGGTATATTGTAGCATATCATATTGGGGTTATATTGGGAGACGGAAAAGAAAATGGAAACTACCATTTGGGTTTTAGGGTTGGGGAACTACTATAGTATATTGGGGTTGTATTAGGGTTATTTCGGGACAGTGGAAAAGGAAATGGAAACTACTATTTAGGGTTTAGGGTCTAGGGTTGGGGAACTACTATAGTATATTGGGGGTGTAGTAGGGTTATATTGGGGTTTAGGGTTCAGGGTTATAGTGGAGGATCAAATGGAAAAGAAAATGGAAAATGACATGGAAACTGGGATTATAGGCTTTATAGGGGGTCATGGGGTTATATTGGGGCTATATGGGGGTTATATGGGGGATATCTGAAGCGGGACATAGGGGGTGTATATAGGGTTTAGGGTTATCTTGGGGTTATATGAAGATAATGGTATGTATGAAACTCATCAGGTTAGTACGGGCCAGCGGAAGCCCGAAACTAAGAAGAAAGGGGGGACCGCCCCAGCGTCATGAACCGCAAGCCTAAAACAAGGGCCCGCGGCAGTCACTTCACAGTCAGGTCTTTTTGGGGAGTTCGGCTTACCAAATAGCCCTGATTTACGCAGAGAATTTTGCAGTTCCTTTGTTCTTTCAAGGTCCTGATATTGGCTGCACAAGCTGGAGGGGGCCCTGCACGTTGATTCTTCTATGGGTGTTGGGGTTTGGGTTCAGGGTTAGGGATCAAAGTCCTAAGAACATCGAAGCTTCTACTGAAGATGTTGCTCATGAGAATGCTCCTTGCGCGGCATCACCACTCTGTGTTGATCAAAAGATACCCTCGCTCTCATACTACAACCCCCTACCGTCCTTCTTTGGAATATTCCCAACACATTATAGTTTACACCAATGGGACTTTTTTAAATGTTCGCAGGGTGGGACCGGGGGTGTAGTGTTAGTGGGAGGGGATACTTGTCCCGAAAGGCCACCTCAGGAAATCTGTCTTCCCTAAGAAACTCTCATCTCCCCCCCCCGCCTAAGTCAAGGAGGACATGAGCTATAGTCTAAACTCCTAGTATCCCCCTTAGTAAGCCCTATAATAGTCCCTTATATAATGCCTTATAAAACCCCCTTTAAGGAGTTTAGATTATGGCTCACATCATCCTTTCTCGAAATTAAGGTCCCTTCGTTGCGGCTCCTTGTAGGGACACACAAGTGTTTTTTCCTGAAGTGCCTGTATGTATCTTCAAGTTTTTCAACATACTGCGCATCGCCTTGGTCCCTACGGGCCCTTTGTGAGAAGCCCCCATATATCTGAACCTGGTGTTCTTAGAGCCCAAGACTTGTGCATGCGCCGCGAACAGACTTCCCCACAAATACAGATGGCAGTCTTGACTTGGGGGGCTCTCCGGGTTCTAAAGATACATTGTGATTTTAATGGTCGATACTTGGGATAGGGTTTTCTTCACATGCTACAGGGGTACTATTGAGAAACTTCGAAGTGGGAACCACCAAAAGGCACTGCAAAGACTATTGTGCTACTGAAAGGTGTCCGAGCCTTTGTTTTGTGCGGGATACCTTACATGCATGTGTACTCTTGAGTGGTTAGTTGTGTCTTGAAGTCAGAGTTGCCCCCCTGCCATCACCAAACTAACATGGAAGGCCAAAAGGACCCCTAAAAGATTGCTATCCTTTGGAGAGGGGTGCTTCCATGTAAGTGGCAAATTTTGCCATTTGCTTCACATGTCACCACAGACCTGGAGAGGAGAGTGGTGGTCGGGACATGCTGATCCTTCAGCTCACGGAGGTCGGGTACGTGGCATGCCGTTAAGGGTATACTGACTAAGAGGAATTCTGATACCCCCAGCCCCTGTAGTAAGCCCCATCAAAAGTCATGTGATCTTCATAGGGTCCTTGTATGGGGGCTTGTAGTCACCAGAAACCCCTCATTACCTGCTATAACTCCCCATGTAATCCCAGTTTCATTCTGCGTTTTCTATTCCATTTGATTGGCTCAAGTTTCGAGATACCAGCAGCAAAAACTCCCCTGGTGATTTTCTCATCTTCCTGACGCAGTATGCCTTCTGCTCATTGCCAGGAGCCTCGCTGGCGATTCCAGGCGACCATCACGGAAGCGAGGACGCCTGGATGGGACTTCGGGCTCAGGGTTTAGGATCCCGTCAGCTAATCCCTTCCCCAACAAAAAAAACCCACCTTATAACAGTATTCCTAGTGTGGTACCAGGTGCCATCACAGCATGAGGGAATTTTCTTTCTCAATTAAGGGGGTGGGGGTTGTAGTATGGAACTGGATGAGGACGGAACCCCGAAGTGGGGACCTACGTATACTAGCTGCTTTTTGAAACGGTGCTATATGCGGTTCCATAAGCTTGGAGGAGAATCTTTAGAATCTCATACGCGCTTCTTTTGGTAGGAGTGTTGCCTGACAACATTGATAAGCCTGGAAGCTCGGCAGAACAGTCTGTGGGATATGGCGAAATGTGAAGGACCGGCATGGCCCTCTTTCGCAACGATGGAGTCGTCCTGGTTGCCATTCCCCAGACCATGGTGCGTGTAATCGGCGACAAGCTTCTGAGTTACCTGCACTGAGGGAAAAAAGAGCGCATCAGGGCCTGTGTAGGCAAGTGTACTTCAATTTTCGCCCCTTGGCTGATCTTTGGGGGGCTTCCCCGTCAGTCATCCAAGCTCCTGCAAATTTTAGACTGCACAGCTTGAACTTCGAGGCTTGAGTCGCTTTGGCTTTTCAAAGTAAACTCATTTAGTTTAAGCAACAGGCAGCAGGAATTCAAGATATGATCAACAAGAACATCCGTCAACAGAGTGGCGATCCTTAAGCTTCTGCTGTGGTGGCTGTTGCTGCGGCTGCTGCCGTAGCTGCCTGCTGCCGTAGCTGCAGCTGCAGCAACAGCAGCAGCAACTACAACGACTCGTACCAGTAACTAGTACTGGTACTCGTACTAGTACTAGCACTAGTGTTTGTTCAAGTATGAGTATGATTATTGGTACTGGTACTAGTGTTTGCTTTGCATGTGTCCTTGTAGTGGTACTAATATAAGTTTAGCTAGAAGTATAGCGTGAGCCTAAGTCTAAGCATGGGCAAAAGCATGGACAGAAGTAGCAGCATAAGTGTAAGCATTAGTATAAGTTCGAGTACTTGTATGGCAGCAACGACAACTACTACCACCCCGCCTCTCATTATTCTTCTTGCTGCAGCCGCTGCTGCTGCGGCTGCTGCTATTGCACTACGTACGTAGTAGTGCCGCGAACAAAGAGCGGAATAGATTTCGCGATGCCAGCTGCAGCCCTGCTTGGTAAGGATGATGCTGCAGTTGCCTGTTTTCCAGAACAGAGTCATAGGGCTGGTGATGGTAGCCTTGCACAAGCCTAGTGGCTCTGATAGCAAGGAGGTAGCCTTGTATATCTTCAGCTAGCTAAATGGGACCAACAACCTTGGACCATTGCCCTGATGCAAAGGACCTTTGCACGGCCTTAGGTCATGCAACCGGCAAAGAACCTGAGCCTGAATCATGCGTCCTAAAGACCGCAAAGGCTAAGCCTTACATGAAAACTACTGAGAGCCCACAACTCTTAACGCTAAGCCATAAATCCTTCGAAGACTCGACAGGCCTCTCCAGTTGCGACGGCTCCCCTTCAACAGCCAATCCTGCCAGGATTTAAGGCTGTTCGTTTTTCTCCCTCTCCGATGGTGTACAAGGATTATTAAACCGTTTTGAGTGAGCCTGGTTCGTGGAATGCGTATACCCAATGGAAGGGCCACTGGCTATTACCAAGCTTTCGGTGGCTAGGTTAGGAGGCGTAGCAGAAATTTTGGCATGGCTTTCCTGTGCTATAGTATTGAGCGTGGGGAATTTCCTTTTTTTGGATTGGGTTGGGGCTTTCTCTCTGAGAGGAGAGCTTCGGGATTGCTTCAATAAAGACTTCGGTCGGTCACTTTCATGTTCATGTCCGTCCTTGACTGACTGTAGGAGATGGTGCCCAGGGAATGTCATTGCAATGGTCGATTGAAAGCGTTCTTTCAGGGAAACAAGTGGCCTCCCTTGCAACCAACTCCTCTGTTCTTAGCGGACAGAAGCCGCAACACTTCTTTGTATCCATGCAGGACGTGCGCGTCTCACTTGCTTGTGTTTGTTGGCTTGGGTAATGTTTGTGGGTGCGCAAAGTGGTGTGTGTATGTATATATATATATAGTTTTATCTAATCCAAACTTGATAACCCCAAGCTGTGGATCTGGTGGCCCATTCTTGCTAGCTGGGTTTCGGAGGATTTTGAAAAGTATGGGTAAGTTGGGTACTTCTTGCGGTAATAGCTACTACTGCTGGAGAAGAACCGCCTCTAGCATTCTCTGCGTGCCAAACTTACTAAGCCAAGTCCAACCCAGCGTGACAGCCCTCTTGTCCTTCTGGTTTCCACTTTGCCTTCCTGTATCTGCTGCAAACATGTTCAAATTTATCTTCTCTTCCTAAGAACCAAATACAGGAGGAGCATGTGGTTTCAGGTGCCTTGTAGTGATAATCCCAAGCCCTCATCCCTAGCTCCACCTTGGTAGGTCGAGATGATGATGGCCCCCGGGACAGGTTGGTGCGGCGCGGCACCAGGTTGAAGTGGGCCGGGTACGGTTTCAGGATTAAACTTAGGGTATTTGGGGTTTGCATAGATGATTTCAGGACTATTTAGGGTGCATTTGGGGATTATTTAGGGTTCAGGGTTGCTTCGGGTTTGTCTTTGTACTGTTTGGGCTTTTTAGGTGTTAGTTGAGGTCCTTCAGGAGAACTTCTATGAGGGTTGAGGTTCAATAGTTCAAGAGTGCCTCTGCCCATGGCTATTCAATCTCTGTGAGGAATGAGCATGATTATAGTCCCCCTTAAGTAGATAGAAAATGGCTGTGGGTATATTATAATAGGATCCCCATATACCCCATATCATTTTTACTTAAGGGGAGTATACTTTGAGCAGCCCATGACCTTGTTTGGTACTTAGGAACGAACATAAACTTTAAACCCTAAATCGTAGTTTCCATTTTCTTTTCCATTTCTCGTATATAACCTTATATGCACGATATATCTTCTCCATTATCAAAAAATAGACGACTTTTGGGGGTTCCAGGTTTGGGTGGGGTGTGACACAATCCAAGTTGACCGTCCAGACTGCAAGGTTTGAGGTTTCGGTCGAGCGGAGTGATAGCTCCTACGTGGATACATAGAATAATACCTGGGGGTTTTCCAAACTGAGGGGTACCTTTTTAAGCCGTAATAAGGATTGTGGTTTATTGGGGTTTTTGTTAGGGTCCCCTATTTAGGGAAATTAGCACCTTGTGCAAACTTAAGCACCCTCCGCCCACCAGCATCAACATTGCCGACTGTAGCACTACTATCTTGGGAGACATGTGTAACATTGCGGGATAGGCATGTTTCACATTAGGGAGTAGCGACGGAGTGAGGGTGTGGTCACAGTTGTCGGGATCCTAATAGTCTTGGCGGGTGAGTCATCTGTGGTGGTCCCCAAAATATTGCGAGATCCTGTTAGATCCCCTTGTGACAGTACTGGGGCTGCAGACAAAGCTTACAGTTCGGCCTGCTTCAACGTGCCCATCCGTGGGCTTGCGGAGCGAAGCTACCAGCAACCATCTCAGCTGTTTGGTGAGCTGGTGCGCTAATGAAACGTTGGACTCCCGCGCTGGGGAAGCCCCCTGGCAAGGGAGCGTTCATGTAACTTGGGTCATCGATGGGGCAAGACTGGGGAGGTGAGATTATATCCAATAATGGAGAATTAAATGGACAAGAAAATAAAAAATGAAATGGAAACTGGGGTTATGATGGGTTATAGGAATATACTGGGGTTATATTGGGATAATGGACAAGCAAATGGAAGCTACTTTTTAGGATTGAGGGCTTAGGGGTTATTAGTCCCCTTCAAGTAGATAGAATATGGGTTTTATGGGGATCTTATAGAATATACCCAACGACATTTGAGGGGGCTATACATCTAGTTTGCGATGGCCATCATGGCTGATGTGAGCCGTGCCCTGAGTATGACCCATTCATTCAAGAGAAACAGTTGCAGGAGTGTCTAGAGGCGAATCCCAGCACAGGGAGTCTTTTTGTGTAGCATGAGGATCTTGTAGAACCTCCTGCAACTATTTTGATTGTCTCAATGGGATCCCAGATTGAACTTGGAACCAGGCATACATGTAAGCCTAGTACCTCTCTCAATATTTAGTCTAAGTTCATGTCGAGCGCCACGAACCACTTAGGGATCCCAGAAAGTTCATGATCTCCCGAGCCGCATGGACTCAGACACCTGGGCATGCGTCAAGGTCAGGGCTGTTTGTATTCCCTTCGCTGCTATCTAGAGGCCTCGTTCTCGTAGCTTGTTCTTACTGGTCAAATGGTTTTGCGCATAGGTAAGGTACTGCAATTCGAAGTAGTGGTTTATGGGTTGCTCAAATGTTGCAGCCAGAGCCCGAAAGAAGAAACAACCAACGCCAGAGCACTGTCACAATAGCACGCTCTGGTTGGCCAGCATGGACGCTGGAAACCGCATGCTCCCGGCAGCACAAGAGCTCATTTTCTTGGCCAGCATGGATGCTTGGGGGAGCGTTTTGCTCTGGTAGCGCGAAGCAATCACCTTGGCCAGCATGGATGCTTGGGGAAACTGTATGCTCTGGCAGCACAGAGGTTATTATTATGGCCAGCATGAATGCCCTGGGAAACCGCATGCCCTGGGAACACGAGCTTGGCCAGCCGGGATGCTCTTGGAAGCCCTGTGCTCAGCCATCATGGTACCCGCGGGAAGCGCGTATGCTCGAAAAACCATGGTTTTCTTGGCTAGCATGGAACTCTGGGGAACCGTATGCTCTGGTAAAACCTTATCTTGGCCAGCCTGGATGCTCAAGAAACCACAATCTCTGGTAATGCAGTCGTTGCTATCTTTGCACAGTATATGCAGACCGTCTAGCCTTGCTGCACAGGGAACACACGCGTGGCATCTGCACTGCGCTCCTCCGCGTCTCCCGCCAGGAGCCTCCTTTTTTTTCTTCACCAAAATGATCACGTTTTCTCACGATCGAGTTGGAGCTCGCCTTCAGTACGAGGACTTGTACTGGTGTCTCCCACCGTTGCACTAGCACTACTGCCGACCTTTTGGCAGTGGAGTTTCATGTAGTCCTCTCATAGGCCACTCACTCTCTTGTAATTTCTTTTGGTTCATATTCCCAGGGTCCTCCGGGGCACACATAACGCTACCCCCAAAACCCTCATAGCATCCTGCACATGCTTGTCCCTAAGGCAGAGCCAAGAAATCTCGATTTTGATTCGCAAGCCGAGCAGGTTCATTGTAATGACCTTGAGGCCCTATGCACAGGATCCGCCCTGGGCGTTTGCCCGTGATTTTTTGGGTTGACCCCAACCACAACCCAGGCCCTCTAAAGGATCCAAAAAATAGGCCCCCCTCCAAAATGGCTCCATTACTACATTGAGGAACCTGGGTGACTATTCAGGTGTTCCATTTTTGGATCCTTTAGGGGGCTGGGAATAAGATGAATGCCCGACTTGCCCAAACCATGACAACGT